CAAAAGTACATCAGGAGGGTTTCTTCATTTCACCTCCGAGTTCACACCTGTTAAGGAAAACAAATCTACAGGGTGAGCAAAAACGCTCGTGAGGCCAAGAACACACATGCAGACACGTAGTCCAGATAACAACCAAATAACAATTCAAGTAATAGCTTGCAAGTAATTAATAATGCCAACAAAATGTAACCAGAAACAATTCAAGGATATGGAAGCTCTCAGGAGCTAAGTTCCACATTTGCCGATGTCATTTGTATATCTCCCCGTGATGACTCTCCGTCAACCGGGTTAATATTTTCATATCCGCAGTTCACCACTTACTTCTCATCCGTCAACCATACACCGCTTCGGGCCCGCACGACATTTATAAGGCGATACTTTACGAGTATGCCAAGCGAGATCTCTCAATAGATCAAGCTTATCATGTGAATCTCATGGTTCACCGAGGTTCCCGACCAAGCCCATGCCGGCTCGAGTTCCAAGGTCGGCCTATGAGTTTGGGCGTCCCCCATGTATCATGTAAATGTCGAGGAGATTCACTCCATCGACGTATGCAATCATAGCATACCATGGGATATATTCAAGCATTCAACAGGTTTAAGCATGTATTGTAGGTCATGTAAACCAGGCAGAACATGTTAGACATGAGTCATTTGTGCCAAATGAGAACGAGTGCGATTAAGTACACACTCGACTCCATTTTTTAAAATCAAATAGACTAAGCATGTAATCAGGTAAGTCAAGCATGAATCAAGACTTTAGAGTTCAAGTAGGCATACACTTGAGACTCACCAAGTTATGCAAGCAAGTAGGTTGGAGAGAGAGTTCAAACTTCCACGGTAGGGTCCTCTTGGAGGTCCTCGTGTGTGCCTGAACATCGAATATTAGATAATTACTATAGGTCCCCAAGTGGTGAGAAAGATTGGACACGAGTAAGGTTCGGAAATATTTGAAAACTTCGTTTGACCTGTCTTTGAAGTTGGATTCTCAAAGGGGTGCAGGACTCAAGTAAAAATCGGATTATTATCCTTAAAATCATTGGTTGGAATCGAGTACGAGCAAAACAATTGCAAAACGAACGATCGAAATCGAAAGAGGGCAGGCCACGTCACAATCCGGCCGGAACCTGGCGGGATTGGAGGCAGTGGCTAACCTCCCTTTTTTTTTCAAATTTCACCACCAATCCGGCAGACAATCCGACCAGAAACTGGCCGGATTCAAGGCCGGATTCTGGTGGAATAGTTCCCGCGTGGATTTCCTTTGAAATTTCAGAATTTTCGATTTTTGGTCAAATCTTTGAAAAATCATAACTTCTTTTCTACTAGTCGAAACTTGATAAATTTGATACCTTTGGAATTGTCTTTCAAAGTGCTAAAAGTCCTTAGAAGACACTGTTCCATGAATCTAAGTGAAAGGTATTCAAAAATGAGCCTAAAGTTGCTGTTCTAGATTACCAGGATTGAGCCGGGGTTGGTTTTTCGCTAACTTTGGAAATTCGGCAAAAATCACTCGTTGCAAACCGGCCCTTGTAACTTATAACTCAATTAGAAGTACAAGTAAAGTTTTGGACAGAATAAGCGACTCAAGAATCGGAGTTTCGAGCACCAAGATATGGTAGCTCAAAGTTGGGAAAAATTCAAGACTGTTACAAAATTTCCAGATTTGGTTCCGACTTTGGACCTTTTATTAAGTGTCGAAACGGACTTGGATTGACACCAAATTTTGCAGTATAATACTTCCATATGAAGGGTATCTCTCTATCAAATTTCATGGAAAAATACCCTCGTAAAGGTGGTTAATCAATCAACCAAAGTTTGGAAAAATCCTTAAGGCAATCTGTCCAAATCTAAGATTTTCAAAAACGAGGCAGTCGCCGTATTTTGATCATAACTCCCTCAATTTAACTCGGAATTGGGAATGGTTGATAGTGTTAGAAAATACATTCACAGGGCTAAACTTTCACAGAAGAAATCGTTTCAAGTTTCAGCATGCAACTGGTTCGAAATTAAGCCTAAAGTTGCAGCATTATCAAATCATTTCGGCAGAACGGAGAAACAGGATAGCTGAATTCAGATGAATGGTACGGTTCACACACATGGAACCAGAATGTGCATTATACACCGTTGGAAACATAGGAACGTCTAGTTTCAAATGCCGCTAACGGCACTCGATTTCGACGTCGGAGTACGGAGTTATGGACGAAACATGAACACTGGTCTGGATTACGACGAAACCGTTTTCCAGATTACTAGCTTTGGGAATAAATTCGTTTGACCAACCAAAACTCAGTATTTTTCAATGAAAATTTTTACACAACTACTACAACATATAAACAACACAATCAAGCCATTAAATCCTCAAATTTCTGCATTAAAGTGACCGAACAGAGCAGGGGTAAAATGGTCAAACTTGGCCATTGCACTCAACGTGAGTTTCCAGCAGTTTTCCTTCAACAAATCACTAACTTAAACACTGATCCGATATCATAAACTTCATCAAGCACAAAATCAGCAACAACCCAAGAGTGGGAATTCATAGAGCCCACTTTTTTTCCAACAATACAAGCTACTAAAGTGAAGATTTCAGCTCAAATGCATAAATCAACCTCCATAAGACAAGTTTAAGGTAGTTGATCATTACCTACTTTGATGGTTGTTCAAATCAGAAAATTTCGGTCCCTTTGAAGCCTGAAGAAAACCGTGAAGCTCCTCCCTTTTTCAGCTTAAAGTGTTGTCCAAGTGTAGAGTTAAGTGTATGTGAAGTTTTGGTTGAATCTATGGAGGTTTTGGTAGTGATTTGGTGAATTTGTAGAAGGAATGGTGAAGCTGTTACGGCTGAAGCTATCCGTCCATTGCAGCTAGAAGAAATGAGATGCGGTTCTGGTTTCCTTTGCGTACAGAAGACGCTTGACGTCTAATATTTTAAATACGTCAAATCAATTACAACTAGTGCCCTACGCGCGCGTTTTGTGTTCGATTTCTCTTACGTTTGTTGCACTAGTGCACTAAACCTCTAGGGCACTTACATTCATATAACTATTATTCATTCTTAATTGTCCCAAAATAATGGTCCAAAGTCCCTCAATTAAGCGCGCACGTGAAAACACGTATTTCTAATTTAGGCGCAATAAAATTGAAACCTTTGAGAAATTCTTATAACGATCGTACCACTAGCTATTACTTGTGTGTTTAAACCTAAAATTGTCTATTTTAGGACCATTGTATAGGTCTCAAATTTTTGAGCCTATTGTACTCCCAATTGGCTAAAGTGTTTAGACACGTTTTCACTTTTTCGCTAAACAAACTTATAAGAAAATATTTGTTTATTTATCTATATTTTTATTTTATTTATTTTTAAAATGAGACACTTTAGAAATATAACGAAACTATAAAACCATGTACTTAGGTCTGAAAAGGTTAGAAAATATTATTCGTGGTAAAAATTCAAATAGATAATTAATTGAGGCAAAATTAGGGGTTTTTAAAAATAATAATTTTACGAGTCCTCACGTGAATTGAGTATTAATTCCTCCATTAACCTTTCTTAATCTATTATTGATCGTTCTTAATTCTCCAATATTAATACATTCCCGATTCAAGTATAACCTAGAAAAACGTGCACCCGTCGTTCCGGACTAAACAAATTTTTGAAAAGCGAATTTTTCAACAAAACGTTTTAAAAATATAAAGAGGCGTCATTCCATATAAATGGATTTAAAATGGTCGAAATAAATAATTCGAAGAAAATGAGTGAATAATCATTTAAATATTCCAGTAATATTCTATAAAAATAAGAAAATTTTCGAGTCCTCACAACAGCCTTCCGCTCAGCCTGAATCCGGACAGGGGACTACCTCAACCGCTCTCCCAATCAACCACAGTCTCCCCATTCTTTGATGATGCTGCCAAAGAAAAACACTTCTGGATATCCCAAAAAGGTTTCATTCCTCAACGTACCATAAATCCCTCTGAATTTCGCAAGATAGGTTTAGAATCCATTCTGCGTCTATTTGAATTCCAGAAATGGTCACATATCATTTCCATGCCTAACGTTTATTACCCTGAAATGCTATATCAATTCTTTGCCAATCTTAGGAAAGACACTGACCACACTGAAATTATGTCCTGGGTAAATGGGGTAGATTTAGTGTTTGATCCTGAGATTGTGAATGCTGTTTTAAATATTGTTATAGAACTAGGATGCAAAAGTAAAATTGCCAATTTCTTTTCTTATGAAGAGCATCCCACTGCTGATAATCACTTTGATAGTGCTAAGATGTTGTCTTATTTTCAAAAGAAGTTTTCTGCCCCTGCTGATGCAAAACTAAATGACCTTACTCCTGTGAATCTCATTGCTTTCTCAATCATTTCAAATTTGCTTGTACCTACCGATGATCATAGGACAGATGCCAATAAAATGGAGCTGTATCTTTTTTATTGTTTTCGAGAAAAAATTCGTATTGACTTTGGCTTTGTCATGTGCAAGTTTTTATTTCGTTTTACCACTGATTCTCGTAGAAAACTGTCTTATGGAAAATTTCTTCAGAAGATTTTTGAGTTTTACAAAGTACCCATCCTTGGTGCTTGTCCCAAAGAAACGTTTTCTTCTGCCTTTACTAAGGCTTATTTTGAGCGCAAGAATCTTGTCTTTAGGGAAAATATGTGGGCTTATAAGGGGGCCACGTCTAATGAACCTAGATCTAAGGCTACACATGATCCCTTCGCACTTCATCCTCTGTTGCACTAACTTCTATTCATCCTAGGAAGACTGCCACTAAGGCATCTTCTTCTTCAAATTCTGAAGTGGTTGAGCTCTTTCGAGATCTTAAACAACATGTTCTACTTCTTGAACATGATCTCATGCTCACCATGTCATCTGAGCAACAAGCAGACTTCGTGGATAAAAAGAATCTTCTCTTTCCCCCACCTGTGGTTGAGGAAGTTCCTTATGGCAAAGAGCCACGCTCTAATGATCCAAGTTCATCAGCTCCTATTCGCTCTATGAGTCCTGCTCCCATCAACCTCACCTCTACTCCCGTGGCACCTCATGATCCTTCCACATCTGACAAAGGCAAGAAACCAGTTGGTGAAGATGCTGAAGATGATGAAGACACTGAGGAGGAGGATCTCTCTCAGTATCTGCTTACTCGAAGGACGCCTGGGTCCACTTAGTTTACCATTTAGGATCACTAGCCCTATTAGGATCATTTGCATTCTGTTTGACTGTTTTCTATTTACTGGATGTTAGATGGTTGCCTCGGACTCTTTTGTTTCTTTGATTCTGGTGCTTGTAATGTTCAAAACTGGATATGTGGATGTAATGTTTGTGATGCTCGTAAGCTATTTTGTTAAGAATGTTTAGTTCTTTTTCATGTTACTGGTTCTTGTAATGTCTCTTTACCTTTTGACTTTTGTGATGACAAAAAGGGGGAGAGATGGTATCATATGGATATGGATATGTGCGTATGGATATGCAGGATGTGTTGAATTGTCTGGACAGTTGGTAAAATGTCCGGTTCCTTAACTGTTTTTGGATGATTGAATAAATCTGTGAAGTAGCCAAGTGAGGGGGAGTTTTTCAATTTTTTGTTCTACGATTGCATGAGAAAGGGGGAACCTATTTATAATCATCAAATTTCATTTGAAACCATTATTTTGTCATCATCAAAAAGGGGGAGAATGTTATTCTTGATTTTGATGATCACAAAGCACTTTGAAATGTTTATCTAATTCTCTTCAAATATAAGTGTTTTGCTTTTTAGAGAATCAGGTATAAAGGTGTCAAGGAAAGAAAATCAATCAAAAGAAGAAGCAAAAACAGGGCACTCATGTCGGATGTCCGAAAGGAAAATGTCAGACATTGGAAAGGATGAAGAACATCAAGAAGGAAACTCTGTCGAGCGCTCGTGAGGAAGCATCGGACGTCCGGGAGGATCGGATGCACGCCTCGGACGCACAACGATCATGTCGGACGTCCGAAAAATTTCGCAAAGTCTTGATGACTCTCTGACGACGTTCGGACGCAGAAGCTGATGGACGATAAAAATCCCATCGGACGTCCGAATGACAACTGATAGGCTAAAATTTATCTATTTATTTTATTTTTATTTTCCCCTATTACCTGACTTGATGTGGATTAATTGCTGGATTCTACTCATTTTTCTTAATTTACGTATATTTCAAGGAGTAGAACGAAAATATGATAACAGGTGCCAAATTGACAGGAAAAGAATTCAGATGATAAATCTTGTCCAAAGGGCACTTTTGGAACGGGAGATGTCACGCCCATTTTGGTAATTTTCGCAAAGGAATGACGGACGGAGGGCTTCTCTTCCTGCTGTGAGCTGCCGCAATAAAGAGAAGAAGAAGAGGATCAGATTGGGGGCTGGCTTTGTTTTGGAGTTTTTTTCGTCCTGTAGCTAGTTTCAATTTTGACTTGGCTTAGCCTGGAATAGCCATTCTCACGTATGTGAGGAAAAAGTAGGATCAGCCTTGACTTTTCCATTAGTAGCTTTTAGGTGTTTTCTTTTTCTTCTTCCGTCGGATGAGCCGACAAGCAAGGACAGTCCATTGTACTCTGCAACTTTACTGTGCTTTATTGTTTTGACCGGATTGAAGTTGGGCATTTCCTGAATTGATGGCCGCAGCTCTCTTTACAATTTCTGGTGGGTTTAGCTCATCAAGTATGAACTAACTTTTCCCTTCTAGTCAAGGAGCAACGAAGGCTCTGGTTCGCCTAAAAATTGTGAGATCGATTTAATTTAAACTTTTCCTTTTATTTATTGGTATTCGCATATTCCCTGATTACTATGCTTATGATTATTTAATTAATTGGTTGTCTTGGATCCGGATAATTAATTGATTGGGTAATCTATTGTCAATTGGGGTATTAAATCCGTAATTGTTTAATTACCTCAAAATAGTGGCAACTGGCACGATCAGAGTCGTGTCAGGGGGATACGCGGGCTAATCTAAAATAACCCTGGTAGTGCGTTATTTGGTCAGAATAGGGCTTCTCTAATACGTAAGGCAATTGGGGAATTAAATTCTATGGGCGTACCTAGTATTATTTCTTAATTAGAGCAGTGATTAACGGGCGTACCTTGATCACCGACACAGTAAGGAGGGGTTGACTGACATCGCTTGTTTGGTAGTTATAACCTATTTATTGATGAATAATTGAAATTGTCTTTGCTTCAATGATCAACTAGGTGAACCATTGCTGAAGTTATTCCTTGGCTAGATCCTTAATTATCACTTATTAGATTTTAGTAAATTGTTATTTAATTTCTAGTTGGCTATTTTATTTTTATCATTTTATTTTTAGTTGAATTGTTTAAATTGTCACTCCTGATATAAAACACCCCATTTGTCACTGTGAATTTGGAAAGGAACAATTACTCCCAGTCCCTGTGGATTCGACCCTGCTTACTGCTATCTACAGAAATTACTTTTAGTTTGAGCAGGTTTTATTATTGCACAGGCTTCGACAACCTGTCAATTTTTGGCGCCGTTGCTGGGGACTGGCGTTATTATTTGTTTCTTTTTAAATTCATTTTTTGTCCTAATTTTCTGATTTTCTTCTAGTGTATGTCTCGATCTTCTCGTACAGGTGATTTGATTTTTGACCCTGAAGTAGAGAAGACCGCGCGTAGAACGAGAAAGGAAACCAGACAGCTCAGAGAGGAGCACTCCAGTGCTACATCTCAGAGACCTGAGTCAGGAGTTGAACCAACAGATTCATTTGGTGGCACTTCGAGTGACTCGGAGCAAGAAGAAATCTCCATGGCTAATGCACGAACATTAAGGGAGTTGGCTGCCCCTAATTTAAATCAGCAGCCTTTGTGCATTACTTTCCCGAGTTTGAGTGAAAACACTTCATTTGAGTTACAATCTGGTCTGATTTCTCTTTTACCCTCTTTTCATGGTTTACCAGGTGAGGAGCCGTATAAGCATCTGCAGGAGTTTGATGTCGTGTGCAACAGTATGAAGCCCCCGGACATTACAGAAGAGCAGATAAAAATGAGGGCATTTCCCTTCTCCTTGAAAGATTCTGCGAAGGACTGGCTGTACTACCTGTCACCAGGTAGCATCACCACGTGGGACCAATTGAAGAAAAAATTTTTGGATAAATATTTTCCTGCATCCAGGGCTGCAAGTCTGAGGAAAGAAATTTGTGGGATCAAGCAGCATTCAGGGGAGTCACTCTATGAGTATTGAAAACGGTACAAGAACTTGTTGCACAGGTGCCCCCAACACCAGATAAGTTAGCAATTGATCATACAGTATTTTTATGATTGGCTCCTTTTCGGGGACAGGAGCATAATTGATGCTGCGAGTGGAGGGGCACTGGTGAACAAAACCCCTCAAGAAGCACGGGAGTTGATAGAGAGGATGGCAGAGAATTCACAACAATTCGGTACGAGGGAGGATTTTTCAATACGCAGGGTGAATGAGGTAGAGACACCCTCCATGCAGCAGCAGCTAACTGAGTTGACCGCGTTTGTTAGGCAACAGGCTGTGAGAAATGCATCACAAGCCAGGGTATGCGGGATTTGCACTGGTATAGGTCACTCTGCAGATATGTGCCCAATGATTCAGGAAGAAACTGCAGAACAGGTGAACATGGCTGACCACGCGCCCGTGCAAAGGAAGCAGTACGACCCTTACTCAAGCACCTACAACCCCGGGTGGAGAGATCATCCCAACCTCAGTTATGGAGGGAATAGGCAACCCAACTTTACACCGAACAGGCAGTCTAACTTTGTGCCAAATAAGCCACCAGGGTACCAGCAGCAGTACCAACCCCGACCACCTCCGCCCTCAAGCTCTGGTCAATCTTGGGAGGAGATGATGAAACAAATGATGACAACCATGGCGCAAAATCAGCAAAGGACGGAGGCAACCATTATGCAAAATCAGCAAAGGATGGAGGCAACCATTATGCAAAATCAGCAAAGGACGGACTCCGAAATGCAGGATATAAGGAATCAGATAAGTCAAATGGCCACAACAATTAACCGTTTGGATTCCCAGAACCAAGGGAAGCTGCCATCTCAACCTGAGTTGAACCCGAAGAATGTGAGCGCCATGACCCTAAGGAGCGGGAAAGAAATTAAGGGGCCTGAACCTGTGATCCCTAAGGATAAGGATGAGGAAAAGATCGAAAATGAGCTTGAAAGGGAGAACAGCAATGGTGCAGATCTAAAGGTACTTCCTGACCCAGTAATTACAGTTAAAACTAACCCGCCTCCTTTTCCTAGCAGGTTAGAAAAACCAAAGAAGCAGGATAAGGAAAAGGAGATTTTGGAGGTTTTTCGCAAGGTCGAGATAAATATCCCCCTGTTAGACGCGATCAAACAAGTACCAAAATATGCCAAATTCCTAAGGGACTTGTGTGTCAACCGAAGGAGGTTGAGGGGAGATGAACGGGTCATTGTTGGGGAGAATGTGTCAGCGGTCCTGCAGAGAAAACTTCCACCCAAGTGCGGGGACCCAGGTATGTTTACTATCCCCTGTAGGATAGGGAACACTGTGATTAGAAGGGCCATGTTGGATTTGGGAGCATCAATTAATGTCATGCCTAAATCTATATATGTTTCTCTGAAGTTAGGTCCATTAAAAGAAACTGGAATAATCATTCAATTAGCTGACCGCACTAATGCATATCCTGATGGGTTGATTGAAGATGTGTTGGTAAAAGTAAATGATTTGGTGTTTCCAACTGATTTTTATGTATTTGATATGGATGATGACCATTCCTCCGATCCCTCACCTTTGTTGTTAGGTAGACCCTTTATGAGCACAGCACAAACAAAAATTGATGTTAATAAGGGTACCTTATCCATGGAATTTGATGGGGAAACTGTGCACTTTAATATCTTTGATACTATGAAATATCCCTCAAACTCCAACTTTAGCTCAGTTTTCTCTGTGAGTGCTATTGACCCTGCGGTGCAGGAAGTATTTGAAACTGTTGGCAGGGATGAGTTGGAGGTAGCTTTGACCAAGTACCTCGAGTTGGAGACAACTCCTGAGGTGGAGTGGAGTGAAGATCTAAAATGCACAATAGGTGCATTACACTCATTGCAGATCACCACGAAAAGGTATGAAGTCTTACCTATTTTTACTCCCGAACCTCACCAGAGGGTATTGTCATCTGTGGTGCAGGCACCTGTACTGGAGTTGAAACCTCTACCAGAGCACCTGAAATATGCATATCTGGGTGATAATGAGACACTCCCGGTGATTATCTCATCGGCACTGTCAAAAACCCAGGAGGAGAAACTGATCCGGGTCCTTAGAGAGCATAGAGAGGCGATAGGTTGGACAATTGCGGACATTAAGGGGATCAGTCCGGCCATCTGTATGCACCGGATTAGACTAGATGAGGATGCCAAACCTGTACGACAGGCTCAAAGGAGGCTTAACCCCCTCATGATGGAGGTGGTGAAGAAGGAAATTTTGAAATTGTTAGATGTGGGGATTATTTTTGCAATATCAGATAGCCCTTGGGTGAGCCCGATCCAGGTAGTCCCAAAGAAGGCAGGAGTGACGGTAGAGGCCAACCGAACGGGTGAACTCGTGCCAGTGCGAAAACCCACTGGATGGAGGCAGTGTATTGACTACCGCAGGCTGAACGCCGTCACCAAAAAGGACCATTTCCCTCTTCCTTTCATTGACCAAATGGTTGAACGTTTAGCTTGTAGAGCTTACTATTGCTTTTTGGATGGATTTTCAGGATATTTTCAGATAGCAATTGCACCAGAGGATCAAGAGAAGACAACCTTCACGTGCCCGTTCGGGACCTTTGCCTATAGACGAATGCCATTCGGGTTGTGCAATGCACCTGCAACATTTCAGAGGGGTATGGTAAGTATTTTTTCTGAATATGTGGAGAAGATAATTGAAGTTTTCATGGATGATTTCAGTGTGTATGGTGATAGTTTTGATACATGTTTAAATAACCTGAAATTGATCCTGATAAGGTGTATAGAGACTAATCTTGTGCTTAATTGGGAAAAATGTCATTTTATGGTTGAGCACGGGATAGTCCTGGGTCATATTGTATCGTCTAAGGGCATCGAGGTTGACAGGGCTAAAATAGATATTATATCTGCTTTGCCTTACCCCGCTAGTGTGCGGGAGGTACGCTCTTTTCTTGGACATGCAGGTTTTTACCGGAGGTTCATCAAGGATTTTTCAAAAATTGGAGCCCCGTTGTTCCAACTCCTACAAAAGGAGGTGACCTTCGAATTTGATGCCAAATGTGAGAAAGCCTTCGACAAGTTGAAAGAGTTGTTGACCTCACCCCCAATCATCCAGCCCCCTGACTGGAGTCTACCATTTGAGATCATGTGCGATGCCAGTGATCATGCTGTAGGGGCTGTGTTGGGGCAAAGAATGGGAAAGGCAGCCCACGTCATCTATTATGCGTCCCGAGCACTGAATGGAGCTCAACTGAATTACTCCACTACTGAGAAGGAGCTTCTTGCAGTTATTTTTGCTTTAGAAAAATTCAGGTCATATTTGCTAGGTGCTAAAGTAATCGTATTTTCTGATCATGCGGCATTAAGGTACCTAATGACCAAGAAGGATGCCAAACCGAGGCTCATCAGGTGGATATTGCTACTGCAGGAATTTGACTTAGAGATAAGAGATAAAAAAGGCTCAGAGAATCTAGTAGCAGACCATTTAAGTCGCATACCAGTTGGGGAGGATAGCGAGGCGTTGAAAGATGCATTCCCTGAAGAGCATTTATTTTCTTTAAATTCTCAGTTGCCTTGGTATGCTGATCTGGTCAATTATTTGGTAACTGGTAATTTTCCTGCAGGTTGGCCAAAATCGAAGAGGGATAAATTGAAGAGCGACGCCAAGTACTTCATCTGGGATGACCCGTACCTATGGAAGAGGTGTGCAGATCAAGTGATGAGAAGATGTGTAAGTGAAATGGAATTTCAATCAATTTTAGCTTTTTGTCATACTTTTGCCTGTGGAGGTCATTTTGGACCCAAGAGAACTGCTCATAAGGTTTTTGAAAGTGGATTTTATTGGCCTTCATTGTTTAAGGATGCCTATGTGTTCTGTAAGTCATGTGATCGCTGTCAAAGGGTAGGTAATATAGCCCGTAGGGATCAAATGCCCCAAGTCCCGTTGATTTTTGTTGAAATTTTTGATGTCTGGGGTATAGATTTCATGGGGTCTTTTCCTATTTCATTTGGTTTTTTATATATTTTGCTGGCAGTTGATTATGTGTCTAAATGGGTGGAGGCTAAAGCCACTCGGACTAATGATTCGAGAGTAGTTGCAGATTTTATCAGGTCTAATATTTTTGTGCGATTTGGAATGCCAAGAACTATTGTCAGTGATAGGGGAACGCACTTCTGCAACAGAACCATAGCTGCGTTGTTTCGCAAGTATGGTGTACTCCACAGGGTCTCAACGTCGTACCACCCGCAGACTAATGGGCAAGCGGAAGTATCGAATCGGGAGATTAAATCCATTTTGGAGAAAATGGTGCGCCCCGATAGAAAAGACTGGAGCCAAAGGTTGGAGGACGCACTCTGGGCCTATCGGACGGCGTACAAGACTCCTATAGGGATGTCACCGTATAGGTTGGTATTTGGGAAGCCGTGTCACCTTCCAGTGGAGTTCGAGCACAAGGCTTTTTGGGCGATAAAGCAATGCAACATGAATCTAGAGGAGGCCGGTGCCCAACGGAAGTTGGATTTGCAAGAATTGGAGGAGATTCGGAACGAGGCCTAAGAAAATGCATTAATGTACAAGGAGAGAAGTCGGACATTTCATGACCAACAAATTTCAAGAAAAACATTTGAAGTTGGTCAGAAGGTCCTCCTATACCAATCAAGGCTCAAGCTATTCCCAGGTAAGCTACGTTCCCGTTGGATTGGACCTTTTATTGTTACTCACGTTTTTTCATATGGTGCAGTCGAAATCCGAAGTGCTAAGACAGACAACAAGTTTGTGGTGAATGGACACCGTCTCAAACACTATTACGAAAGTTTTTCAGGTGGAGAAGTGGAGGCAGTACATCTAGACGCACCACCGTGTCTTAATCAGTGACACTTTACCATGTCTAGCCAAAGACATTAAAGAAAGGCGCTCCTTGGGAGGCAACCCAATTGTTCCTTTTAATTGTTTGTTCATTTTCGTGTGGTAGTTTAGATGTATTCTCCTTGAATTCGACTGATTTTGGGTTTCAATTTTCATTTTTGCTGATTTATAGGTGCCCTTCAGTCATGACGCGCCCGCGTGGTGATGTGCAGGAAGCTCACGATCAGAAACTTCACAAACTTCTGGGAGCTCTCTTGCCCTCATGACGCACCCGCGTCACGTTCGCGGGAAAGGTAAGGATTCAAAAAAATAAAGAGAAAAAAAGAAAAAAATAGAATAAACATTTCTTATCACCGTAGCTTTAGTTTCCAAATTTCAAAAAAAAAAAAAAAAAAAAAAAAAAAAAAAAAAGAACGAAAAATTATATCCGTGGCTCAAAGAGCCTCATAACTGAAAAAAAAACATCAATTTCTCTCTTTTTCTTTTTCTTTTCTTTCTTTTCTTTCTTTTTCTTTCTTTCTTTCTTTCTTCTTTCCCTTTTCTTTCTTTCTTCTCCCTTGTTTCCTCTTCTTCTCTGTTGTCTGATTCCCTTTGCCCGCCGCCCAACTCACGCACGCTGCCACACACTCACGGCCCCGCTGCTCCCTTTCTCTCTGTGCACGCCGACCGAGCGCCGCGCCATCAGTCCCACCAGCTCCGCTCACGCCGCGAGCTCTCCCCCTCTCTCTTCGATCCGCAGCCATCAGTCGCAACCCACGCCTCCACTGCTGCCAACCAGCAGATCTCCATCGCCTGCCATCCACTTGCGCCGCCCAACCGCGACGCACGCCGACCACCCCAGCTCCGCCTGCGCGCTCTGCCCAAGCCGACGCCATCGCTGCTGAAATCGCGCGCTGCGGCTGCTCTGTGCGTCTCTCTCTCACAGCTCCACTCCGCCACGGCTGCCGCACATCGCGGCCCATCACCACCTACGCGCACCCCAACTGCGCGACTCTGCCCCTGCGCTGACCGCTGCTCTCTCGCGGCTGCAGTTTGGTAGATTGGGCAATGACCATTATCAAATTTTGGTGTCTTATGCTTGAGGACAAGCATGGTTTTGGTGTGGGGGGAATTGATAGGCTAAAATTTATCTATTTATTTTATTTTTATTTTCCCCTATTACCTGACTTGATGTGGATTAATTGCTGGATTCTACTCATTTTTCTTAATTTACGTATATTTCAGGGAGTAGAACGAAAATATGATAACAGGTGCCAAATTGACAGGAAAAGAATTCAGATAATAAAGCTTGTCCCAAGGGCACTTTTGGAACGGGAGATGTCACGCCCATTTTGGTAATTTTCGCAAAGGAATGACGGACGGAGGGCTTCTCTTCCTGCTGTGAGCTGCCGCAATAAAGAGAAGAAGAAGAGGATCAGATTGGGGGCTGGCTTTGTTTTGGAGTTTTTTTCGTCCTGTAGCTAGTTTCAATTTTGACTTGGCTTAGCCTGGAATAGCCATTCTCACGTATGTGAGGAAAAAGTAGGATCAGCCTTGACTTTTCCATTAGTAGCTTTTAGGTGTTTTCTTTTTCTTCTTCCGTCGGATGAGCCGACAAGCAAGGACAGTCCATTGTACTCTGCAACTTTACTGTGCTTTATTGTTTTGACCGGATTGAAGTTGGGCATTTCCTGAATTGATGGCCGCAGCTCTCTTTACAATTTCTGGTGGGTTTAGCTCATCAAGTATGAACTAACTTTTCCCTTCTAGTCAAGGAGCAACGAAGGCTCTGGTTCGCCTAAAAATTGTGAGATCGATTTAATTTAAACTTTTCCTTTTATTTATTGGTATTCGCATATTCCCTGATTACTATGCTTATGGTTATTTAATTAATTGGTTGTCTTGGATCCGGATAATTAATTGATTAGGTAATCTATTGTCAATTGGAGTATTAAATCCGTAATTGTTTAATTACCTCAAAATAGTGGCAACTGGCACGATCAGAGTCGTGTCAGGGGGATACGCGGGCTAATCTAAAATAACCCTGGTAGTGCGTTATTTGGTCAGAATAGGGCTTCTCTAATACGTAAGGCAATTGGGGAATTAAATTCTATGGGCGTACCTAGGATTATTTCTCAATTAGAGCAGTGATTAACGGGCGTACCTTGATCACCGACACAGTAAGGAGGGGTTGACTGCCATCGCTTGTTTGGTAGTTATAACCTATTTATTGATGAATAATTGGAATTGTCTTTGCTTCAATGATCAACTAGGTGAACCATTGCTGAAGTTATTCCTTGGCTAGATCCTTAATTATCACTTATTAGATTTTAGTAAATTGTTATTTAATTTCTAGTTGGCTATTTTATTTTTATCATTTTATTTTTAGTTGAATTGCTTAAATTGTCACTCCTGATATAAAACACCCCATTTGTCACTGTGAATTTGGAAAGGAACAATTACTCCCAATCCCTGTGGATTCGACCCTGCTTACTGTTATCTACAGAAATTACTTTTAGTTTGAGCAGGTTTTATTATTGCACAGGCTTCGACAACCTGTCAACAACTTGGCTGATTTTCGGTAGGGCTGCAAACGAGCCGAGCCGAGTCGAGCTTTGAGCTAATCGAGCCGAGTCTCGACTAAATTTTACCAAGCTCGAGCTCGACGAGCCGGCAAATTTCGAGCTCGAGCTCGACTCGAATCAAGTCGAGCCGAGCTCGAGCTCGAGCTGGAGTTCGAAAAAAAATAAAAAATAATTATTTTATTTTTTAAAAAATAAATAAAATAATATTTTTTTCTTAATAAATAATAAAATATTAAGGATATATACGTAATTTTACTATGAAAATAAAAAATAAAAAAAATATATATAATATACGTAATTTTATTATTAAATAAAAATAAAAAAAATATATATATATACCCAAGCTCGCGAGCCGGCTCGCGAGCTAACGAGCTTAATATTTTGAGCTCGAGCTCGAGCTCGAGCTCGACTCGAGCCGCTCGCGAGCGGCTCGATTCGTTTGCAGCCCTAATTTTCGGACGATGGGATCAGACGATGACTAAGCTGTCGGATGTCCGACAGCCCCAATGGCTAGCTGACTCTTCATCTGCCTTCTATCCGTTGGAAGCATTAATGAAACCCATTTTTGGTCCCCTTTAAATACAAACGATTCTGAACCAGAGAGAGACTTTTGCACACTTTGTTTACAAGATCTCAAGAGATATTTTAGCTAGAAAATAGTCTCCTAAGCAAGGTTTGTTCTCCAAGTAGTGTGAAGTTCTTGTAGCACTTCTCTTGTGTTTGAAATTTTCAATAGTGTAGCTTTGTTGAGAGTTTTCTGAGTGATAGTAAAACTTCCTAGCTTGACTAAGTGAGGCTTGGGGCAAGGAGGAAGTGATCCCTTCATTGTACATTGAGTTGATTATTTTTCATCAAAGAGAAGGTGCTCATCTTTGTGATTGGTTTTCAAGTTTGAGGAAAGCTTGGTAGACAATCGGTTTGATACTCTATCTTACTCCTTTTAGTTTAATAAAATTCTCATTGCCTATATACATTCTTATTTCTGATCAACATTGCTCTCTTCTTTAAATTTATTTGGCTGATCACTACTTGAAAAGAAGGTAAATTTTTTATTAAAGAAAAAGTGCATAAACTTAATAAAGTATTTTTAATCAACCTAATTCACCCCCATCTTAGGTTGTCTTTGGGCCTTACAAACTCATGCATCAATAGGACATTATCTGAAATATTTCAACCTTTTAAAAAGGCACTTTGCCTCTTAGATATCAGACTTTCCAAAATTTGTTTAAATAATTCAGTAAGCACCCTAGAAATTAGAATATATTTCTTAGAGTGCATTGCAACAAGCAACAAGACCATATTCCTTCATTCCCACAGGTGAAGCTATCTTGGGAACCAAAGTGATGATTGTACTATTCAATCCTATAGCCATATGCTGAGTATGAAAACAGTACTATATAGCATTAATCAAACCAGCACCTAATATTCATCAATTTCTTTTGAAAAAATCCACAGTGAAAGCATCAGGCTCTGGTGAAGTACCTTCTTTCATGCTGAATAAAGCTTGCTGAATCTCTAAGTCAGTAATTTTCTGAATCAACTTTGCCCCTTGCTTTTTGGTTAATCTATTTTTAATAATCTTGGATAACCTATGCTCCATAGTTTCAGAGAAGGAACAATGTTTAGAAAATGATTGCTAATAATATCCAACTACTTCCCTCTTCACATTTTCACAGTCTGTAAAGCCTTATATCCTCAGAGTTTGTGAGACTTAAGATTTTGTTGTGAGAATGGTAAATTTTCAACTTTCTATGGAAAAATGTGATAGGGTATAAAATTTAGTGTATTTATATGTATAAGTTGCTAGTTAATTATGTTATTTGAGCTTTATTTTGAATGGAAACTACTTTATTTTGTTATTATATTGGTCTAATAAGTGAAAATCTTGACTGGACAGAAAATAGACAAAAATATGGCGAAGAAGCAATGGAAGAAGAAAACCTGAAGAGTAAGGGGTTTGACTGGATTGACATGTTTCATTATTTTGGCAATAACTTGAGTTACACAAATTGGATTGATATAATTCTTGATTCACTTTGAAGTAAGAGAAAGATCTACAATTTTTATGAGATATCAAAGTCCAGTTCTCATGTTTTCATAACAAACAATCCAAAATACTAAAATATA